TCTAGAGGGCCCAAGCAAATGGTTGTCCAGGGTTAATATTAAAGACGGCTCTGGCAATACCTACAAAAAATGGGTGCACTTATAAAGAAAGTATTATGTAAATACCAAATTACTTATTTGTGTACCAAGGGTTAAGTTAAATCTTCATTTAAGTAACGTGTATACTTTAAATGCAGACAGTTTAGTTTACTTTTTTTTTTTTATGTCAGTTGCCAAAATTGCTGATACTTGGCTTCGAGCATTCTGTTTTTTTCCACTTCTTTTCCTTATGTTGACAAACTGAGAACATCCATAAGGAGATAAATATGATGACTCGATATTCAGGATAGACGTATAAATATAACTGTCTGGAGTGATACTTTCTAGATTTATAACACATCCTAACTGAACGCAGAAAGAACCAGTTCTGACAGCCAGACATCATGACTTCTGCTACCATACTGCTCTGTATGTTATCGGCTGTGCTATCCACAGGTGAGGTTTTCTATTCATATCATGATAAAATTAGGGCAGCTATTTGACACATTGGCCTTGATTTAATATGTTTGGATGGACTTTCCAAATAATTTTTCTACAGAAGTCACCATTAACGTCTATGAGATATTTTGTAGACAATCATTTGAAAAGCGTATTCAAAAACATCAAATCAAGGCCAGTGTGTAATTTTAATTTATATTGCCTAACCTTTACCTCCTAAATATTCTGTTCAATATGTTGGAGTTGATTCAAACTGTGCTTTGCAGCTCTCCATGTCACAGGAGCTTCATCACTGGCTCTATTTAAACTCTAAACAGAAGTCCCAAGAGCATGGGTGTCCCTCATATGAGCAAATATTAGGTTGGTACGGCGTAGGACGTGACAAAAATAGGATATTTTGTACAGAGTGACAGACATATGTCATGTTTGTATCAGGGTGTGTTAGGAACTCAGAGAGGAACCTTTGTACAAGGGTTATCTAACACGCAGTCAACAATATCATACCTATTTAGGAGGGAAGTACCTATATTGGGTCTAAATCCCTCTGTCCTTCTTTACTATCGTACTGTTGTACGAGCTCCGTATTGTGGGTGTGCCTGAGTATATAAAAGGGCTCCACAGTAATAATATTCACAGTAATGTGTCTTCAATAATCTTCAATAAATATTTTAAAAATCAGTATGCGTTATAAAGATACATTATATTGACAAACCCCCACTCAAACCTCTAAAATTAAATTGTCCACTTTTGTCCATTTTAAATGTTGAGAGGTATTAAGCCAAACAAAAAAATCCCAATGCACATTTAAATAACTGGAGGTTTACTCCAATGACCATTGAAGTGTAAGCCCACCTGCCATTTCAAGGCAAAACATCTCAGGTGAGTCCTACAAACCTTGTGTACAAACACACCAAATTAAGCCCTGCGCTCAAACTCCCACTATTCCAGCAGTGACTATGGTACACATATGAAATAACTGAGGGGGTTTTAGTATCACTCCAATGGCCCTAAAAAGTGTTAGCTCAACTTCCACGTCAAGGTGGCCATTGGAGTAATACTAAAAACCTTGAGTTATTTAAATGTGCAGCGGGATTTGGGATAGTGTGCATGTGACTTTTTTTTATTTTGTTTTATGTAAAATGGCTCTCTGAATGGCAGAGTACAACGTAGGACATTTATAAGGTACAGACATGACAATTTTATAAAATAAGATATAAGGTACAATCTGTCAGCTCCTAAAGCACTTCAGCAGAGTTAAGAGCATTACATGTTAAGAGTGTTTCTGTAAACTGATTATGAAAAGCACATTTTAGTGATAGTGCCACATTAAGATAAAACATTTCTCCATCACATATATCATATTAACTTGACAGTTGAGGGCTGGATGTAGCAATTTTCATAAAGATTTCAGATATAAGAAGATTAAACCCTCAGAGATCCAGTCTGAATATATATTATATTTTTTTGCCGTGGACTAAACATGTCATCCACTTTAATTGAATCCATGTCTACCCAAAAGTGTTCCATTCCTATTTTACGTAATATTTATAATGTCTAGACTAAAAAAATTTTTTATTTTTTTTTACATATGAACAATGATAATGTCATGTGAACCACTTAAAAATGTTTTATTTAGTTTGTGGTGATGAATGCGTTGTTTGCTTGAACCGAAATGGAGACACCTGTGAAGAGGAAGATATCCAAGAATGTGGAGCTGCAGGCTGTGTAACCATCTCTGAGAGCTGTAATGTCGGTAAGTGCAAATTCTCACTAAGATATATGGACATGCAGGTTGTTTGACTATGCAAAAAATAAACTGTACTCATGGATGGCAAGAGTATTTACCTGCAGTATGATATAATAAAAGAACACTCATCGTCAATGTGCATTATTATGTGTATGATGTGAGGTTCTGTGCAGTGATATGCATTGTGTATCAGTGCATAACAGAGTTTCACAGAAATAAAACTCACTAAAAAGTATATTTGGTGATGTATTTGTGTGGAGTCACTCTGTGAGTGAATGAAATGGTTTATGTTTGTGAAGTGTCACTGTGTGTGAATAAAGGGGTGCATTTGTATGGAATGTGATTGTGTGTATACGTAGGTGTATATTTATGTTTACTCTTACTGTGTGTGTGAATGTTTGCGTGTATTTGCAAGGAACATCAGAGTGTTTGTGAATGCTAAATATATATATATATATATATATATTCCATAGACTAATAAGATTACTCATTAAAATGGCAGATAATGTGCATCCAGTTAACATTTATCAACATTTTTTTGCACACACCACTGACCTGTTTATAGGGATGAATTTTGTCTGACATTAAATCCAGACGAAATTTGGAAAAAAACCAAACAAGTTTACTGTTTCTGGTCAATAGAATTAAATCACAACCATATTGTCTTCGAAGATATTTTAGCTTTATGAGATACTTAAAACTGTTAAGTTATCACATTTGGGTTTTCCTCATAAGCAAGTGCTTCCTAAAGAGATATATTGAACTGTTTCTATTGTATTTTAATGATAAAGACTCTTTGAGATTTCTGTAGTTTGATGTCCTGAACACCCGTAAGCAGCTGATTCCTTTAAAGCTACATCCATGACATCATATTGCTCATTTACATACAGTCATGGGAAAAAGAAAGTTCACCCTCTTTTAATTCTATGGTTTTACATAACACGACATAATAATCTTAAAGCAGGTCTTACAATTTGGTACATACTACCTCAGATGAACAACAAAACAAGATATATTACACTGTGTCATGATTTATGTAACAAAAATAAAGCCAAAATATAGAAGCCATGTGTGAAAAATAAGTACACCTTATGATACAACAGATTGCAGTACCACCTTTAGAAGTAGTCGCTTCTGTATGACTATCAGCCTCTCACATCTTTGTGGAGACATTTTGGAAACTCTTCTTTATAACATTGCTTCTATTCATTGAGGTTTGCTGGCATTTGTTTATGCAGAGCTCTCTTAAGGTCCTGCCACAGCATTTCAGTTGGGTTGAGGGCTGGACTTTGACTGGTATATTGTAACACCTTGATTCTTTTCTTTTTCAGCCATTCTGTTGTAAATTTGTGAGGTGCTTGGCATCATTGTCCTGTTGCATGGCTCAATTTCGGCTAAGCTTTAGCTGTCAGACAAATGGCTTCATATTTGACTCTACAATACCTTGGTTATAGAGGAGTTCATGGTCAACTCAATGATTGCAATGTTCCCAGGTCCTATGGCTGGAAAACAAGTCCAAATCCTTACTCTTCCACCACTGTGCTTGGCAGTTGGTATGAGGTGTTTGTGCTGATATGATGTTTTTGTTTTTTGCCAAACACGGAGCTCTGCAATCATGGCCAAACATCTCCACTTATGTCTTGTCTGTCCAAAGGACATTGTTGGATTTTATGGAGGTGCTAAAACTTGCTGGTGATCAATTAATCAATCAATAGATTGTATGCCTGTCATGTCTATATATCAAATCTATTTTCAAAACAGCTTGTCAATTTTTATATCTATAGAAAACAACCTTGTGAAGTCAATTGCAAAAGGATGTGCTGATGAAACTAGTGTAAGTCAAGTGATAGGTACCAATGATCTCGATCAAATATCGGACTTTGTACATCTTTGCCATTGTACAGGAAATCTATGTAACAAGGATACAGTGTTTACATGTAAGTATCTTTAAATAGTCAGCTACTTATTATATAGTTTAAACACATAAAAAGGGTTTTGTATACATCTGTGTAATGTCAAGTAAAGTATATGCCCAAAAGCCCACTAGTGACAACGCTGTGTGTGTGGGATGATCAGGGCCGCCATCAGGGCATGACAACCGGGCTCAGCGGTCCTGGGGGGCCCGGACTGCTCTGGGAGTCCTGATCCCAACATTCCATATGTGCACATATAGAAAGCGATTATCGCTATCTATATGTGCACCTGCGGGCCCTGGCTACCTGTGCAATGTAGACAGTGGTCAGCCAGCACCATCTTAACTCTCCAGCAGCTCCTGTGTCTGTAACTCTCGCGAGCTCCGTGGCTGGCAGAGCGTTTTCACGGGTTACCATGGCAACACTCCGCGCGGCAAACAGGCACAGCTCGCGAAAGTTACAGACACAGGAGCTGCTGGAGAGTTAAGATGGTGCTGGCTGGCCCCCGTCTACATTGTACAGCGGCTGACTCTCTCTATCAGACAGACCACCAGGGATGCAATCTCCCCCCTCCCAAGTCAGGTAAGTAGCAGGGAGGGGGGAATAAAATAGTGTGATAAATAAATGTGGGTCATATACAAAAAAGCTGCACCCCCATGCAGCCCCTTATTCTACACAATTACACACACTAAAACCACAACACAAACACACACTGCTTTCATCATACACACACTAAAACCACAACACAAACACACACTGCATTCACCATACACACACTAAAACCACAACATAAACACATACTGCATTCACCATACACACACTAAAAACCACAACACAAACACACACTGCATTCACCATACACACACTGAAACTACAACACATAATGCATTCACCATACACACAATAAAATCACAACACAAACACACACTGTATACACTATACACACACTAAAACCACAACATAAACACACACTGCATTCACCATACAAACACTAAAACTACAACATAAACACACACTGCATTCACCATACAAACACTAAAACTACAACATAAACACACACTGCATTTACCATACACACACTAAAACCACAGCACAAACACACACACTGCATACGCTATACACAAACTAAAACCACAACACAAACACATACTGCATTCACCATACACACACTAAAACTACAACACAAACACACACTGCATTCACCACACACACACACACACTAAAAATACAACACATAACGCATTTACCATACACACACTAAAACCACAACACAAACACATACTGCATACGTTATACACACACTAAAACCACAACATAAACACACACTGCATTCACCATACACACACTAAAACCACAACATAAACACACACTGCATTCACCATACACACACTAAAACCACAACACATACTGCATTCACCATACACACACTAAAACCACAACACAAACACACACTGCATTCACCATACACACACTAAAACCACAACACAAACACACACTGCATACGCTATACACACACAAAAACCACAACAATAAACACACACTGCATTCACCATACACACACTAAAACCACAACACAAACACACACTGCATACACTATACACACACTAAAACCACAACACAAAAACACACTGCATACACTATACACACACTAAAACCACAACACAAACACACACTGCATACGCTATACACACACACTAAAACTACAACATAAACACACACTGCATTCACCATACACATACTAAAATCACAACACAAACACACACTGCATTCACCATTCAAACACTAAAACTACAACATAAACACATACTGCATTCACCATACACACACTAAAACCACAACACAAACACACAAACTGCATACGCTATACACACACTAAAACCACAACACAAACACACACTGCATACGCTATACACACACTAAAACCACAACATAAACACACACTGCTTTCACCATACACACACTAAAACCACAACACATACTGCATTCACCATACACACACTAAAACCACAACACAAACACACACTGCATACACTATACACACACTAAAACCACAACACAAACACACACTGCATACGCTATACACACACTAAAACTACAACATAAACACACACTGCATTCACCATATACATACTAAAATCACAACACAAACACACACTGCATTCACCATACAAACACTAAAACTACAACATAAAACACATACTGCATTCACCATACACACACTAAAACCACAACACAAACTGCATACGCTATACACACACTAAAACCACAACACAAACACACACTGTATTCACCACACACACACACTAAAAATACAACACATACTGCATTCACCATACACACACTAAAACCACAACACAAACACACACTGCATACGCTATAAACACACTAAAACCACAACATAAACACACACTGCATTCACCATACACACACTAAAAATACAACACAAACACACACACTGCATTCACCATACACACACTAAAACCACAACACAAACACACACTGCATATGCTATACACACACTAAAACCACAACATAAACACACACTGCATTTACCATACACACACTAAAACCACAACACATACTGCATTCACCATACACACACTAAAACCACAACACATACTGCATTCACCATACACACACTAAAACCACAACACAAACACACACTGCATTTACCATACACACACTAAAACCACAACACAAACACACACTGCATACACTATACACACACTAAAAACACAACACAAAAACACACTGCATACACTATACACACACTAAAACCACAACACAAACACACACTGCATACGCTATACACACTAAAACTACAACACATACTGCATTCACCATTCACACACTAAAACCACAACACAAACTGCATTCACCATACACACACTAAAACCACAACACAAACACACACAGAATTCACCATACACACACTAAAACCACAACACAAACACACACAGCATTCACCATACACACTCTAAAACTACAACACAAACACATTCTGCATTCACTACACAAACACACACTTTATCTAAAACACACAAAACTACATCCTTTATACAAATGTGCACTTTGTATCCATTTTACACACCACACAGACAGGGCATCCTTGTGGGCAGAGTCAGAATGGGCCCCGTGGGCAAACTCGAGGGCAGGTCCGGGGGGCCCAGACTTTTAACTATGTCAGGGGCCCCAAAATTTCTGATGGCAGCCCTGGGGATGATACACGTTGTAGTGCTAGCTACGTCCTAATGACTAGTAGAACAATAGTAAATTTATATATTTTGACCCATAATTTTGCCTGATGTGACATATATCAGATACATAATCTCAGAATGTCAGTGACAATAAATTAACACTCTGGTTGTAAAAATAAATGCATATTTTTTTGGTCCAATGTTTTCCTGTGTTCGTTTTGATTACTTTTCATAGAGAAGCATAAAGGACACACAGTCATTTAATACTTATTTCTGCCAGAAGCCTTCTGTCCAACAGCCACTAGTCGGCGATGGCTTTGCATAAGATAAACAGTGCAGTTTCTCAGAAATGACTCTGTTTTCAATTGCAAGGCAGCTCTAACTGGATAAATTCATTATTAGAATGTCCTTCTAAAGACCTCAATCATGCATTTCAACAGCACTGTTGCTAGGTGGCAAAATGACCAGGGTCTTCAGTCCAAAAGTAAATTTTATGGCCCCAAATATGACACCAAATAATTACTTTATTGTACAGCATTACAAGAATCTTTATCTATAAATGGCATAATTGCTGTATTAACCCTTAACCCCCTGCCTACAAATCCTGAATCCACAGCAATCTTCCCACCACGTGCTGTATAATTAATTCCAAATAATGCATTTTAAAGTGACACATCACAAATTATATGTATAATATATCTCACAGTATTACAAGGGACTTGGGGCTAACAATAAAATGATGCCAAAACTAGACCCAGACTTTTCAGGACCCCATTTTAGTTTTCAGCTCCTGTAGACCACTTCCCACCACCTCCCCCAAACACACGTTCGTATTTCATTTTTTATTGTTTTCTCTGAGGACAAATGAGTAGTTTTGCATCTAAAATATGATCTGTTTTTATTTGCAAGGAAATAAAATCTCTTTGAAAAGATGAAGTTCTTGACTGTTTTGGTGCTTAAGTTATCCCTTTAAAGATCTTATATCTGCATTTCAGTGAGATGAATTCCTGTCTTTTGCATCTAAAATATGAATAAATATTTTTCAGACACTGACCAGACCAGCTTGGGTGAACCAAATGGAAAGTACTGTGAGTCTTGCTTCAGAGGCAACTCGTCTGAGGAATGTTCCTCCAGAGATCGAGTGGCATGCCATGGAAATCAGTTTCAATGTGTGTCATATGTAGGAAAAGCAGAAAGAGGAGGTACTGTAAATGTCTTATCATGAGAAATATGAACATTGTGCATTTATTAAAGCGAACGGTGTAAATACATTATTGTTCATTCTATATTCCACACACACCAGACACACAGTCACCCCCACACAACACACGCTGCATTCTCTGTTCAACCTACATACAACACACAGAACCTTCACATGCACACATCAAACACAACTCACATACAGCCATTAGCCCCTCCTGCCCTCCTGCCCTATCCTCTATATCGGGTGGTGGGAGGTGTATCACTTTGTTTTAAGTCCCTACTCCAAATTTAAAAGGAAATCCTAGTTTTTCTTATGTATAAGTAATAAACTAGAATTTATTTTTTTTAAAGCAAAAATTATATATAAAGAAAAAAAGATTCATTAAGAAACAGCCTCACCAGTCTGTGTCTCCTCTCTGCGTGGACCTCACTCCATAAGGCCTAATAATCTCTTGCTTTCCCTTTGGTTCTGAGGCCAGGCCTACCTCTCTGTTCTGATATTGCAGCTATCCTCCTACCCTGACTAGGCATTGACTGCCCCACTCCCCTGGCATTCTGAAACCTAACCATATGTCAGCTAATCCTACTCCATTTGATACAACATTGTCCCTTTCTATGCCCATCATACTAATCCTCTCCTGACACCACTCCATACTAGACACCCCCCCACTAGACACCCCCTTGATCCTTGCAAGTCTAACCCTCCCTACACAGATATAAAATATGTCAAAATACAATACTACAGCTAACCATTTGTGAATGTTTAACACTGATACTTAGAATAGTATTTTTGCACCAGAATTTCAATGATATATTAATTTTCTACGTCTCTAAGGGGTACCTTTAGGACATATTTTTGATGATATTAGATTCATATTATACTCTCTCTTTTGCAGATCTCAGTATTGGACATTACAGTTTCAAAGGATGTATTTCCGATGTAGGATGCATTGTGAAGTTTTCAGCCTTGCCAGGAACTCAACAGCTCGTGGAAAAGATCTTTAGTTGTAGTGCTGCTGACCCAGAACCTTTTGACTGTTTTGGATGTGAATAAAATTACATTTCAATGTTTTTTATGCTTGCCAAGTACTTACTAAAAAACATAGTTTGAAATCACTATAGCATTCTCAAAGACAAAACATGTGCAAGAACTGAACAGAAATCAAACGGTAAAAAAATAAATGCAACTTTTTACGCTGTAAAAACAAATTTAAGGAATGAGGAACTATTAATGGTTTCCTACTTACTCGTTACATACAAAGAACAAACACCAAATCGCAACAAAAGAATGTCCCAGGTAGTTTTTAACAACATTAATACTACTATCACATCTCCCGTTTATTAACAAATGGGAATTCTCATTTAAATGCAATTAATCAATTATTTTTTTAAATAATTATTCATTAATTCAGTCTAATTCTGTATTTATTCTACTGATGAAATAATTCTACTTTTAAATAATAAAAAGTAAATCAGAAAGGACTCTGCACCAACTACGCAATAAAAAAAATAAAAAAATCTAAATAAGTTTCTGTGTATACACACATCACAAAAAATAAATAGTACCTTTCACACTTAAACAATACAAAACACTTTTAGTATCTCAGTATTATTAGTAAAAATACAAACTACAATCAATACAAAAGCAAAGGTAGTTAAAATATTACAATGCCTGCAAATGCAGCAATAATGATTAGGAGAAGAGACAGACTCTCAACCTCTCAGTAACAATAGTTACCGTTGCCAAGGGATGACTATGTTCGGGGATTGTCTATGATTTTTGTCCCTGTTTCCATATATGCAGAAATTGTAATATTTTGGCTGACTTTGTATGTATATTTATTGCAGATTGTATTTGTACTAATTATACTGAGATACTAATAAAGTGTTTTTTGTTATGGATTATGTTCTATTGTTCGTTGACATTAATTTACCAAATATCTGTTCCCATGTGTTTTGCTTATAATTTTATGCCTGTCTTGCTGTAATATCTAGATCAGGGGTAGGCAACCTACGGCACTAGTGCTATGCACGGCACTCAAGGTGTCTTTGCACTGCACTCAAGGCTGCTAGAGACAAACGCACTCTGGCCTATCAGGAGTCCCAGTAAAACTTCAGATATCTGCTAATACGAAGAGGTGGTGAAGGACAAACCTCAATTTATGCATTGCAGCACATAGAGGAAGTGATCTCAGATCCCTTCCTCCCAGCACTTGTGAATGGGAATCCACACTGTAGTAGAGCAGCCCTCGACAGCTATCGCAGCTCCTGTCCTTGACCTGTGCCTGGCCAGCCTGGTCCCCACTGGAACCCAGGGAACCCACTCACACTGCTAGACATACACAGAAATGTAGAATAACCCTCCCCTCATACAAATAATATGAACAACCCACACACACACACACACACACACACACACACAACACACAATCCCCACAAACGCAACACCACTAACAATATACATACATGCAGACAACCCCACATGCAGCCTCGCACATGCAATACCCCAAACAGCCCCCACACACTACCAAACACACAATGACATATCCATCCACACACGATTCCACAAGCAGCCCTCATACACAGCCCACATTCATATGTATCATACACGATACCATAAACTACTAATGAACATATACAATATAATAGCTCATATACGCACAAATAAAACGATACAAAGCAATTACAGTAAAAATTACACAAGCAGAATACAGCAGCATACACACCTCAATTTCAAAAAAATAGGATCGGCACGCTACGGGACATCACAATCCTATATCGGCACAGTGCTGCTAAAAGGTTGCCTACCCCTGATCTAGATGATTAAAAAGTACTTACTCATCAATAAAGTCTTATCTTTGAAAATCAAAAGTACTTTCTAAACAATAAAAATTTTCCATTGCAAATCAAGTCGTGTTGTAATATCTGGAAATCAAAAATGAAAAATGAAGCAGAAAAAAGATATGCTATAGAATGTGTCAATTTAAATGTATACTAGAACTTATTTATAGTTTAATTTATACCAGAGAGTGCATAAGATCATTTTCATGATGTTTTAAATGTTTAAAGAAGACCACAGACTTGCAAAAGCTGCAAAATGGGCAATACATAATCACACTCCATTTTAAGTTAAACAACAGAATTCTGTTCATTTTTAGAAGACTGGTCAAAAAAACAAAAAGGTTTTTTTCATTGCGGCAATTATATTGCTTGCAAGAATGCTACTGTTGAAAAGAAGAAAAAAGACATTTTTATATCTTCAATAACTAAAAAACATTTTTCTGTTCCATCTTTTATTTCATGTGACTCTAATAATGTTATTTATCTTCTTAACTGTAAATGTGGACTACAATATGTAAGGGAAACCTCCAGACCTCTAAAAATACGTGTTAGCGAGCATATTAGAAACATAAAAAAAGGTTTCTTAAATCATAGTATACCTAAGCATTTTTTAGAAAAACACCAATCTAACCCTAAAGATCTAGAATTTATGGCCATACAAAAAAATATCTTCACACTGGAGAGGTAGCAACAAAAATCTTAGTAAAAAAGAATGCTCCTGGATTTTTGACTTGCAAACATTACACCCTAAGGGATTAAATATAGATTTTGAAATTGGATCTATTTTGTATAGTGATGTCCTGAACGGTTCGCTGAACGGTTCACCGCGGACGGCGAACATATGCGGTAAACTTTGACCCTGTACCTCACCGTCAACAGACACATTCCAGCCAATCAGCAGCAGACCCTCCCTCCCAGACCCCCCCACCTCCTGGACAGCTCACTAAGAATGCAACTTCACAATGAATGTAAAATGGATGCTGTCCAGGAGGTGGGGGGGTCTTGGAGGGAGGGTCTGCTGCTGATTGGCTGGAATGTGTCTGCTGACGGTGAGGTACAGGGTCAAAGTTTGCGGCGAACCGTTCGGGACATCACTAATTTTGTAGGATTTATCTTCTTTTATTGTTTATGTCCCCATTCTCATTTTATTCTATTATCAAACACTTTTATCTCATTCCTTTTTTACTTTACTTTTTCCTTTGAATGTTATATTTTTCAACATAGGAATTGATATAAACATTATAAATGTGCAACTTTTTAACATAAGGATATATATTAATCATTATAAATATGTAAGTGTGATATATGTCTTCTTAATACACTGTATACACATTTGAACTAATTTTAGAGAGTATATTAATCCTTTATTTATTTCCCTATCCCCTTCCGTCTTTTCCCCTCAACCAAAATGGCTAATGTGAGTACTAAAGACTGTTTAGCATCAACTAAAACACGCCCTCCTAATAAGTAAAGGCAATATGATTGACAATTTTTTGCATTCGTTCACGAAAGAACTGGAAGTGATGTGATGACGAAAACCGGAAGTGACGCGATATGCCGAAAAACCGGAAGTGATATTCCGTTCCAAAACCAGTAGTCAACTGATGAGAGAGAAACGTCAGGACCACACAGCCATTTTGAGAAGGTCAGATTCTTTGTTTATCCATAAGAAAATAAACATTTATCCCTCATGATGGAAGAGGAAGAAAAACGGAAAAACCATATTTGGACTATTTGTGGGTGGGTTGTATATGAATTTAACACAGATGTTTTATGTTTAGTTACTTATGTATAGGGTATTTAAACTTTTTATTTACATTCATGTTTATTGCACCTGAGGAAGATCAAGAGAGTGGTCGAAACGCGTTGTGCTATTTTTAATTTTATTTCTTAATAAAGAGGTATTTTTATACTTATTTTGGTTCCTGAATTTCTCATCTAAAAGAAAAACATCTATGCTGGGACCATCATCTCCACCAAAGCTACCCTATTGGAGTTACAGATACGCTACTACAGTTCAGAGCCGACTTATAAGGTTCAAAAGATTGTGAGTGCTCCAGGTTATATTTTTACCTTATATGTTATGATTACATATTGCCCTATGAAGGCTTTCTGTATATTACAGGTTTAACACTTTTTTATCTATTGTGTGCGCAAACCTGCCTCCCCTGTATCCAATTCCAGAGTTCTGTTCAGGTCTGAGAAAGGCAGGGGCAGATCCAGAACCTAATTTCGTGAGGGGCACTGGTAGGAAGAATCCAGGCACTATAACCACTACAGCTCTTTGTAGTGTAATGGTGCCAGGAGTACCCTGGCACACTCCCAGAGTAAGTAGTCAAACCGTTTAAGAACAGTTTGACACCTTTCCAAGGGTTTGCCATAGAGGTAGTAGTGTGTGTGATGTATGGCGTGCAATGTGTGAGTGAGGGGTGTGGTGTGTGTGTGAGAAGGGTGTAGTGTGTGTGAGGATTGCAGTGTGTGTGTGTGAGGGGTGCAGTGTGTATGTGCATGGGGTGGAGTGTGAGTGAATGGTGCAGTGTGTGTGTGTGTGTTTGTGTATGGGGTACAGTCTGTAAATGTGTAGGGAGTTATTGTGGGAGGAGGCAGATCCATACAAATATATCTATATACATTTCAATTTTTTTTTTGTATTAAAAGCAAATATACTTTATATTCCCCCTTCCTTCTTACCTTTGCCCAGAGAGGGGGGATATTACTTCCATTCCCTGGTGATCCGGTGGAGAATCCCCGGTGGTCCTAGTAGTGAGTGTGAACTGGAGCCTGCAGCTCAGCTAGAGTTCACTCTTGCGAGATCTGGAGCATTTCCCTGGTAACTGCAGCAACATTCCGTTCTCGTGAGAGGAGGACCCGCTCCCGGGTCCTCTGTTCCTCCCCTGCCGGCTGCAAGCAAAGTTCCCACGGACAGGTGAGGGAGACCTCTGATCTCTCCTCCAGTCCGTGAAGGCACCCAGCAGGGGAGAGGCAAAGCTTTGGCTCTTTACTATTTTCTCGGGGAGGGAGGAATTTCCTGTTGTCCCATTTCCCCCCTCTCCCCGAATCCGCCAGTGGAGACAGGAAACTTTTAAATTAGGCTGTCTAAGAGAGATATATTAGGGTCAGATAGGACTGCATGAAGATATGCATCTATTCATAGATGAGGGGAGGGTTAGTCAAACAAAGCAAACATTTGGTTAGGTATCAATAAAAGAATTGGCAGGGGTATGCAGATTTACAGATTAAACAGTCTAGAGATATCCATAAAGATTAATAAAGCAATTAAAGGACCACTATAGTGCCAGGAAAACATACTCGTTTTCCTGGCACTATAGTGCCCTGAGGGTGCCCCCACCCTCAGGGTCCCCCTCCCGCCCGGCTCTGGAAAGGGGAAAAGGGGTTAAACTTACCTTTTTCCATTAAGTGGTCTGGGTGCCTAGAGTGGTCCTTTAAGTAAACAAGCCAAATATATGGAATAGGGCTGGTAAAATTAACTTTAGCTTACAGGACAAGACAAAGAGAGTGAAAAAAATAAAAAAATAAAAATATATATTTTATATATTTATACACACACACACACATATTTACAGTGTGCATAATTTGTTAGTACTATATAAACAATAATAATATTTAGATTACAAGGTTACAATAGCAATAGAGATTACAAGGTTACAATAGCAAGGTAGTGGACCCAGGTGGGCAATACACTAACATGATAACGTGCAGGATCAAGTCTCGATGTGGTCCTTCAGAAGTTTACATTTTGCTTATGGAATTGGATCAGCTGTTGGAGTTCTGAGTCCTGTTCACATCTGAGGCAGGAAACGTAGCCTCATAGCCGAGTCTTACAATCACACTTCACCTGACTGCTTTCAGCCAGTGGAGTACATACCGGGGTCGCAGGTATGATCGGGCCCATCACTCCACGGGGCCCAGCTGCCCTGCTGACCCCTGCGACTGGGTGCCTGCCGCCATGTGTTGCGGCCCCGGCATTGGAACTCTGACTCCCATCAACGTAAGCCACTGAACCCCAGAGAAGTCACCAGGGCCGGTGCAAGGATTTTTGGGTACATAGGCGAAGATGTATCTTTCCGCCCCCCCCAAATAACATCTTCACCTATGTGCCTCTTAACCAGCCCCTCTCCCCGTCCATTAGTGGTC